ACAGAATATGAGAAGAAAGTAATTGCTATTGTTGAAAACAAATTACCAGAAAACTTCAACACTCCCCAAAAGCAAAAAAAAGCCATTTTACAAGAAATTGAAGTAGCCAAAAAGTTAAAAACTAAACTGATTATCGTAACTGACGGGCAAGAAACCTTATGAATTAATGTTAGAACTGGAAATGAGATAGAAGATGAAGAAGGAAAAAAAATAAACAAAATTTTTGATTCTAAAGACCCTGATTTACAAAAATTTATAAGAAAAATTTTGCAATCTATTGATGAGAAAAATGACAGAATCTTGCCTACTGAAACAGTAAATCCGACTGGATTGGCCAAGCAAATATGACAAGATGTTTGATTTGTTAGCAAAAAAAAGCCTGCTGATTGTCTGTATACTTTCGTTGAACTCTTTGTTTTCAAATGTTTAAGCGACTTGGGGATACTTGAACAAGGAACTAATTTTGATCATTTATTGGAGAGATATAAATATGATATTGACAAACCAGAAGAAAAAGCTCTCGAGTATTATGTGAAAACTATTCGTCCTGAAATAAAGAGATTATTTCCAGAGAGCAAGATTGATGGGACAACTATAATCAATGGAACCATATTTGTAAGCAAAGGTAAGGCCGTTACTGAATATGGTTTAGTTTTTAAAAAGGTTTTACTAAGGTTTAAAGACTATAAAAAGTTGGAAAACATTAGTTATGATTTCAAAAGTCAACTATTTGAAACTTTCTTAAAAGAGGATAAGGGTAAAAAAGATTGGGGACAATTTTTTACTCCTTTAAAGGTGGTTCGTGCCATTATAAAAATGGCAAAAGACGATATAAGAGAAGGGATAGAAATCTGTGATCCTGCTTGTGGAGTTGGAAAATTTTTGCTTGAAGCATTAATAACTAGTTCAAAAAAATTAGACCATTTATATGATAAAGACAAAAAAAAGTTGAAAATTACCATTCATGGTTTCGATAAAGGAACTGATGAAGGTGAACAAAGAACAATTATTTTAGCAAAAGCCAATATGCTTATTTATTTTTCTGAATTAATAAAGGAAAATCCCAAGTTAACAGAGGATTTTTCCAAATTGTTTAATGACAGTTTTGTTATAAAAACTAATCCTGTTCTTGGGACATTAGCCGAACCTGAAAAAGATAAATATGACCTAATTTTAACAAATCCGCCTTATGTAATAAGTGGTAGTGGGAATTTAAAAGACAAAATAAGGGAAAAAGATAGTTTGTCAAACTACTACAAAATTGATGCTTCGGGCTTTGAAGGCTTGTTCATGGAATGGATAATCAGGGCATTAAAGCCTAATGGCAAAGCTTTTGTTGTCATTCCTGATGGAATTCTTAACCGAAAAAATGACCAAAAATTACGTCAATTTATTATAAATGAATGTTTTATTGATGGCATCATTTCTTTACCAAACAAGACTTTTTTTAACACATCCAAAAAAACGTATATTCTATGTTTAACCAAAAAAAATAGCAAAGGTGATGTCCAAACAGACCCTGTTTTTACTTATCTAGTGAGCCACATAGGAGAAAGTTTGGATAATTATCGTTTCAATATTGACAAGGACGATTTGG